TTATTTATTTTGATTTAATTTTGTAATTTTCTTATTTGTTTTTTTTTTCAACTTATTTATATGTATTAAGTGTATTCAATGTGATATAATGAAATAAAGAATTGTAGGTATTGTAGGTAGTTGGGCAACTACCTAAAAAGATCTTTATTAAAATAGATCATAGGCGAGGCGAGGCGAGGCGAGGCGAGGCAGCAATGCTCAACTCGCCAACATGGCGAGGCGGTGGCGAGTCGTGTTTTTGACTGACTCGCGGATCTCAGACCCGAACAATAGTATGTTTTATCCGTGCAATAAGAGTGTATCGAAATTGGGGTATCCTATCGTTGAGCACGCCCATATATATATATATATATGTAAATGGAAAATGAGATTGATCATAATAAAAAATATCAATTAGATATGAACATGAACACTTTAAATAACAATGATATTAATATACTCGATTTACCTGATGAACTATTACTTTGCATATTTAACAAGCTACATACGATCGAAATGCTCTATTCACTAGTGAATGTGAATCAACGATTTGATCGTTTAGTACTCGATCCATTTTATATTCATCATTTAGATTTAACGGTCAAACCATTGCTTTATCATAATTCTCCAGTAAATAATCAAATTTTCGATCGAATTCGTACACAAGTCTTACCTCGAATTCATCATAAAGTAAATAAATTCACTGTTGAACCACTTTCTATGGAATGTATTCTTGGTACTATTGATTATTCTGAACTTAATTCTTTATCACTAGTCAATTTTCAATCAGAAACACTTTTACAATATTTAACAGATATAGTTGTAAATTTTTATTTGTTTTCATGAACTATTGATGTTTTTGTTTTGTGCATTTAAGGTGATACTATACTTCTTCGTCTTCTTACTGATCAAATCACACCTCTTACAGTCGATATTACTGATAAAATAAGTGAAATACCTGGTGAAAATGAATTAAACATGTTTGCATTGATACTATCTATTAGTAAATGTTTAATTGATTTGACATTTACTCAACGCACAGAAATTTCATTTCCTAATCTACCATCAACAAGTTGTGTATCTTCAACTCTAAGTAAATTGAAAATTACTGTAAATACTTTTGATGATTGTCTTTATCTTCTTGATGAACGCCTTCAACATTTGTCTATATTGATCATTCATATAATAGAAATTAGCGATATCATCATCGAATATAGATAATACAGTAAGTATAAATAAATCTATCTTTGAAATTAAATGATTGTTTCGTTTTCTTTGGAAAAATCTTCCCAAGTTGAAATGTTTAACATTAACATCGTATTAGTATACATATTTTTATAACAATCGTATTGTTCATTACTTCGTCGAATATTAAATCTTGAAGTATTAACATTATTTCTTTCGATAATAAGAAATGAATCGACTTATATTGATGGTGCTCAATTATACAATGATTTTCTCATTAATATGTCACAACTAAACAAATTTATTTTTAGTATACACACTCATATTATCAATAACCACATTAACATTGATCTTCCATCGAAGAACGATATTCTTAATAGTTTCATCGGAAGAGGGTATCAACAAGTAGATTCATACGTTGATGATAAACTCACGCATAATAGAGACTACTGCCATGTCTATTCACTTTCATATCATTTCAACGATTTTATATTTATGACTAGTGGTTTTCAAGGTGGTATGTTCAATAAAGTTCGATGGTTGGTAATGTTAGATATACGTCCATTTGAAAATGAATTATTTCAAGTCATCTCACAATGTTTTCCTTTTCTCCAAAGATTATCCATTACTAATTTGCAATCACAAAAAAATACCCAACATTTGTCTACATTTATTACATTTTCTCATCTGTTCGAACTCGATCTTAGGAGGACACATATTAACTACGTCGTACAATTTCTCTTCGATAAAAACACTAGTTTACCTCGTTTGACGCATCTCACCATCCGATATGAAACATTAGCAACTATAACACAAAGTTTTACCAATGATGCAGCACGTCTCACTTGTGCTAAAATAAAATATCTTGTTGTAAAAGAACCATTTGTTCGTCCAGAAAATTTTCTCTCGTATTTTTCTTCATTGTAAACATTTTTATCAATAAATAGATATATACTATAAGAAAGTTGAATATATTGGTTATGATAATTAATAAATTACTGTAGAAGTTATTGATTGTGTTTTTTTTTATTGGCATAACAATTCTCAATAAAGTAAAAATATGAGAATTAAATAATTGATTATATTCTAAATTTGAAAAGTATAGTCGACAACATACAATCATATTGTTTTGAAAAGGATTTTACAGCAAATATTAAAAATTTTTAACAACCATATTGCTTGAATGGTAACGAGGAGGCTATGATCTGACTTTAGAACAAAATTTAAGCAAATTAACAGAAAAATGTTCACAATTGGCAAACGTAATAAAAATGAGGGCAGTTTCATTTTTTTACAAGCACTATTAAATATTCTTTGTTGTTGCTTATTATTATTAAATTGTAATTTTCATAGATAAAGCGTTTTTGTATGTGATTATATCTCAATAAGATTTGCATTGATTAAGTTCATGTTCTTTAATCGTACATATATTTTGTGAATAAAAAAAATGTGTAATTTGTCTTTGATATAAGATACTCATGCTATTCTAAAAGGTTTTCTGACGTATTTGAAAAATAATATTATTTTCAAGAATGAGAAGAAAAAACAACAATCCTCATGCAAGAGAAATACTTCAACATATGCAGAACTTCATGAAATATATACAAGTTTATTTGACATGTATTACCATGCGATCATCATCTTACATTATAGATCTTAATGACAAGACTGTAGAGTCGATGTGAATACTTGTCATCAATAATTTAGAAAGTTGATAATCAACGATAAGAAAGATGTTTTTCTAGTATGTGTCTTTAAGTAGCATTTCAAACTAGCTGTTAAAGTTCGTTCTTATTCCCTTTAAATATCCAAATGTCATTTCTATGCTTTATGCGAACAACAAAATTCTAAGAATATTTAATTACAACTATGCTATTCTTTGACTGACTTCAATCACCGAAAGTCAAGATTAAGTAAACAATGAAAAAAGAGAATAATTTCTGTTGAAACAGTGTCGATCTATGATGCTTGTCTTTCGAAATCAAAACCATGTTGTTATTCGTAACATATCCGAATAGATTATCAGTTGAAGAAAAATACCGAAAAATATCGATTATGAGCAATCTCGATCTATATTAACGATTGCTGAATTAGTTGTTGATTCGATTGAAATCGTGACGTTTATTATCTTGCGAACTATTTCATTATGAGAATCCGAATTAATTTAAAAAAATAATTTTTATAATTTAATAATTTCTTGACTACATATATTGAACAAATGAACAACAATTAAGAGAAATGAAAATTCCTGTCATGGCCATTGGCCATGATACAGATTGAGTTATTAGTACGGTCTATATTGTGTTCTCTCTTTATATCATGCCTTACATTCTTTGATGCTTTTTTTTCTCTCTCTATTCATGTGCTCGATCCATCTCTCTGTAAGAAAGGATACATCATCGGTATGTCATGACATATCAGAAAGGGAGGAGTGTATTGAAGAATACAAATATAAGAGAGAGATACTTTTTGTCTGTGGGAGTGAGTCTTGTTTTTGTTCGTTTCCTCGTTTCTTGTTTTTTTCCCAAATTCGTAATAAAGAAAGATGAAGTCGAAAATGATTCATAAAGTAGGATTAATAGAATTGTCAACTCCTAAAGAAATTATCATCTTATCTAGAATCACTGTTTGTCTTATGCGAAATGACACTGGTTCATGTATATCTCATTGAATTGATAAACGAGGAATATACATTGTTATACAGTATGTTTTTCAATGATTTCAAGTCATCACATATTTGTCAGATTCATCTTTACTAGTATGAATAAACGTTAGTGAAGTCCGATAGTAAACTCAGAAAACAATCGGCAATCCAAGATTATACTGTTGTAATAATATAATATAAATCAATACTATAGCCATTGTTTTGTACCATTCAACACAAATGGCATTTGCTTTTTCGAAACTGATGAATCTGCAGTAGTGTGAAGACGACTGAATGTTTATATTCTTTGAAATAATGCGATTCAGTCTCGATCAATTTTCTATCAATCACAATTCATTATCATTCGAAGAATATATTTTTCATTGACAGTGATTTTCTTTTACATAAATATTCGAACAATGTATACAATCTAAGACAGTATAATTCGATTAAGAAATAAACATAGTTTTGTATTTACATCAATAGATTAATGATATACATATATATGGATACAGTATATAAGTACTAGACATGCATCTATCAATGATACTTATCAAGTAGATGAGAAAAAACAAATATTATGAATGTGCATACTATAAAATAATATAAAAAGCACTCTTTAAAAACAAAATCATAGATTCGAAAAAGAGGAAAGGAAAGATCGAGCAAGAAAAGAACTGAATAGAAAAAAGAATTTACAACTATACATATTATTGATATTTATTTCTCGCGATAAACTCGAACAGATGTGCTTATCTGATCGATTATTTTGCCTCTCTTTTCATTCTAGACCAGTACATGTATTGAGTAGCTTGAATTCATCTATGCTCTTCAGACAGTAAAAGTCATGATAAATATACCTCTAATCATGATCATGGTTGACGTGGAGAGGGCGAGGGAAGAACATTTTCAGATGTCCAATCATTTTTGAGTTCGGACTTTTAACTTCTAGCATGGTTCTAAGATTTCGCTCACAAAAAAGTCTATTTCTCAGTAGACTATCCTAAAAGTTTTAGCTCAAAAGAATATTTCGTTTCTAAGATAATGAAGTTTTTCAACATAGAAAGTGTTAGCATCCTTCGTAGGATATGAGCCACTTTCGGAACTTTAATATCACGAGATGAATAGGCTCCTTTGAGATGGAATTTTCAAGGCAGTCTACTGACAAATTGTCATTCATTTTAAATAATATATACCATATTTGAGGTTGAAATTGCAATAAAATACTTATAGTTCTGAACAGAAATCCTAAGAGGACTTATCATTTTGATGTTTATCCTATCTCACTAGGTCCTACATCATGCAATGAATTCGAAATCAAACAATTGAAAACATACTCTTGTAAGACAGTTAACTTTTTTTATGTTAAATCTTGCAGACTTATAAAAGATTACATTGTTCATCTCTATGTATATACATCATGTCTACTGATACTATCTTTGTGATCGAACGAGAAGTAACTAAATTGCGACAAAAAAAATCTCGTCGACATCGATTAATTATTCGAGAATTCGCTTTAAAAGATATTAATTCATAGTATTCCAGTTATTGATCATAGTCTAAATGTAATGAATAGAATTTGTTGGTCAATTTGCTTCACTGCTATCGTTGCTATTACACTTTGCTTTGTTATTTTAGAGATTCATAGTTATTTCGATTATATAACTCAAACATTAGTAAGTATGTTTAATGAATGGACATAATTTTTTCCAGCATTTACTGTTTGTAATCTTATATCAGTTTGTTATGATCGTTTCATTAAACTGTTTCTAAACTATACAACTACACTAAACATTACCAGAACGAACGATACAAATTCACTTTTGTCTCTTTAAGAAGAGCATATGGATGATTTTTTTCAAATAAAAATTAATCGAAATGAATCTTTGAATGACTTCTTTTTTTTCCCTCAGTTCAATGTTTATCAAATGCGTCTTTAATGGACATTCATGTTCACTAGCTGACTTTGTTTGATTTTCTTCGTCTATCGATGATCTCTATTATACATTTTGATGCTAGATTAAAGAGTATAAAAATGTACGATAGTAATGATGAATATGATGGAGTTAGTAATCTACAATTATGTTTTTATATTTATAGTTATCAATATGTGTCATATATTAAAGAAGGTTAACATCATAACTTTCATTATTATTTAATTTTTGTTGACAGATGCTGGTATGATAGATATGGTGCATGATAACATACAGTTACCTATGATTGATTATGCTGGTATGGCATTAGCAACTTGATTTAATCGTAGACTAACATAAAATAACTTAAAAAGACATATATAGATATTTATTTTGATTGCAGAAATACATTTTATTTTTTTAAATACATAATTTGTTTATAAAAAAAAAAAAAAAAAAACACATTACATTTTTACGTTTATTTCCATTGTAAATATATACAGTCAATGATGCGTGTGATATTGTAATCGAGTATTAATTCTTCATTTTCAATCATCTTTTCCAGTTGTTTTATTAATTCATCATCTGCTGATGAAGCATGAAAACATAATAAACGAAGATGTTTATTACAATCACGCTTTATGTTCTGAATAATATTTCGTACAGCAGATTCAATATCCATATCATATATAGCATCAACTTTGAAATATACTATGTAAGGAATAATGTTCAAAAGATAAAAAAATTGTTCAACATTGCGTAGTTTTTTCATGTATAGTTTTTTTATTTTACTTGTTTCTTTTATTAAATACATAACATGCTCTTCTAAGGCAGTGAACTTTCTTGATTTTTTTAATGATAATGAATGGATTTTTAATGTATTAAGTTCAGGTAATATATTGAGAAGTTCAATTAATGAATCAATCAACACTTCGTTGTCTGTAATCTCCAAATGATAAACTTGTGCTATATTTAAAATACGTTGAATATCAATTAGTATTTTTTCATGAAAACGATCATCATTAGGATTTACAATAGTTAATTGAGTAGATTGATAATGTTCATCACAATAATTGACAAGTTTATCTTGTGAATATTCATACCATCTTTTTCTAAAAGATATAACATCACCTTTTTTCATATAAAAAAAAGATCTTTTCGATATACCTGTATGGACGAATTGTATACATGATTGATTCACCAACAATAAGTTCAACTTCAAATATCCATTGATGTTCACACCAAAATGATGAAACAAATTGATCTGGTTGACCAGGATACACTTGATATTGATGTTGATCATTAATTTCTTCCTTATATGTTAAATAAAATTTTTGTAATTCAGGTAATGATTCAACAATAAATATTTCCCAATGATAGGCATTAAGATAAGCTATATCTTCAGCTTGAATAATAATAGATAAATATTTTAATTGACAAAAAATTTTTTTCATAAATGTTTCAAAATAATTAAAATCAATAAGACATATTTCTACCAAAATATGTGTTAGATTTGATAATGTAATCGGTAATAAACTTTGAATGTTTTCATCAACATTATCGACAATTGAACATTTTAGACAACGAATTTTTGGTGTATAGGACAAAAGAATAAAAAGTTCTTCGAAGGTAATTGAATGATCAATAGTAAAATATTCGATGGCGCTGGTTTGTTGATCTGTAGCTATTGGAAGTGAAATGCAGCTGTCATCTTCATCGAAGGTCAATTTGTTTGATTTTAAATATGGCAATGCAAAAACTAATTGATATATATTGTTCGAATATCCATCAGAATTATGTGTATCAATAGTTAAGGACAATAAACGATGCAAACCAACTAAATTAATAAGAAGTTCAATAAGTGTAGCTGGTGATATTCCATCAATGAACAGCGATTGTAATTGGTTCAACGATGAATTGATAATGAATAATGATAAAAAATTATCATTATCTAAACGCAATCGAAGCTTAAGTGAAAATATCTTACGTCGATTTATATCGATGAATCGTCGATAATCGATCATTGATGCTTCATCATGCTCTGATATATAAATTTCGACCTTGAATAATAAACATGATGAAGAGAGAAGGTCGTCAAAACGATGATTAAGCATTGAAAATCCTTGAAATATTTCATAACAATTCAGATAATCGAATATATCGTGAAAAAATTCATTCGATAAATTTTCAATAGTTGTTATTGATTGACTATTTTCATCTATTAAAATAAAAACATAAATAAAGGACTAGTGGTGGTAAGGCCATTTTTCATTCCCTGATTTTTTTTTTCCAATAAAAACTATATGATTAGAATCAGCATAAAGTCTTGAATATAGTAGACTAGTTTTCTTTTTACCAAGTTAAAATTATGCTGATTCTAACCATATAGTTTTTATTAGAAAAAAATCAGGGAATGAAAAATGGCCTTACCGCCACTAGTCCTTTATAATTGTTCTGTTTTTTTTTTTTAAATTATTATTTAGAAAATAACTTATTTACCTTGAAGTGCTTGTTGAAGTTGATGTTTTAAACGTATTTTTTCTTGTTCATGTTGAAGATTCCTATTTTCAGTTTCAATCAGATATTCACCTAGAAAAATATTGATTTTGTCAAACACAACAATCTAAGAGGCGTATTGAAGTATTAGGGTAGAAGTTTGAATCTCCTGTCTTCACGGA